TATATATATATATATATATATATATATATATATATATATATATATATATATATATATATTAGGGTACAGTCAGACAAGCATTAGAACTGTCCTTTAAAACTTTATCGTGGCAAGTTGACGGATGATAAGTGAATGGTCGCAAATACGTTTTATTCAAATTCCAAACTAATTTTTGATCTAGAATAAAATCTTTGAGGGGCTTGGGATAATAAATATTGAACTTAAAGTCTCCCAAATCTTTTAAATTTTGAGGGTAAGACCGTTCAGGTTTAGTCGAGTAGGAGAAAATTTGACCTTGTATATCTGGAGTGACCACAAAAAATAACAAAGTTGTCATGATAAAAGTAACGCGGATCAGTAATTTATCTAACGGCGCATCTATTCCAGAACCTATGGAGATCCGAATAATATCTAAGAACCCGTTGCCATAATCACGACCATTGTGGATTACTAAAATCACGAACGATACCACTAAAATAAGAATTATTACGCTAATGATTTGAAAATTTAAAAATGTTTCATCGTTTTTAATTGTACAAACAATACTTATGCGCTGAGTGAGAATCATGAAGTAAGATTGACGATTCAAATTTATAAAATCGACGTTGGATATAGGTTCGAGTTTGCGGACATTTAAAACCAAATCATATGTACTATCCAATTATCTCTTCAAATCGCCAGATGCAGTATGATTAATCCAACAACCTTTTTGATCATAGTATATGATGGACGTGACATTTAAAGCAGAAAATAAGGTTTTCGCATAACTAACATCTTCAAATTTGTTATGTTTTTGCAAAGAGCCAATATCGTATTTTTTACCACGCGTATAATTCAAGAACGATCTACTAACAGCTTTTACTTCGTAACCATCCAGAGATTTTGTTTTGTCGTAGGTAATACTTCTACAAGCTCCTTTGTCTGCAACAGAGATAAATATTGGTAAAATTAATCTAAATTTTATGTTTAACCATTGCAATCTTTGCACATACCATTTATATAAGGCTGTTTGTAGAGACTCCATCGATCATTGGGTCTGTCGGTTGATTCCACTTCCACCCACGGTTCAGGAGCTCGGTCGGTAAAAGGATTATACGTGTACAGCATCATCGACTCTTTATCATTCGGCTCGTAGCAGACGTAAAATGCTGAGATCAAATTCAATTTCCAGAGAACTTGAAGCATTTTTGAAGCGTTGCCACAAGATTCTGCGTTAGTTCCAATGATGAAAAATACAGATTTAATGCTCCATGTCAGCGATGACTTCAATACATGTAACAGATTTTTCAATTGACTAGCTGAATTAGCGGAAAGAATATACGTCGAATAGGCGCGGTTGAATATCGGGATTTGTCTTGGTTGATAGTTGTGTTCAATGACGTTGACATTTGGATGATCAATGTCTCGTGAAAGTCCATAGATTGCGTCAACTAAATCATCAGTAATGACAACCGGATTTGTGCGTTCAGAAAAACACAATTTTATCAATTCACTCTATTAAAGATTGAAACAGAAAGAATCAAGTATTAAAATATAGAAATTATTTATCAATCTTTTTGATGTTATTTCTGAAGAATTCACCATCTTATTCCAAGCAGGTTGAGGATTCTGCAATACTATTTTATCTAATATTCTTCCATCGCTTCACAAACTCATGGTTATTAACCACCACACAATTTTATTTATCAACGTCATTGCTCAACACTCATATTATTCCACACAATTATTAACGTTTTGTTCAATTTTTGATTATAAATTTAATGCCGTATTTTTCAAGTTTCAGTTTATCTACGTCTAATTCACAGTGACCAAAACTGCAAGTGATATTTTAAAGTATTCTATTTCGTCCAGGAACTAAGAATCAATAAATTAATAACAACCCTTCGGCCGCTGATAGTATAAAACGCGTCGCTTCATTTTTGCGTATCAACAGCTACTACCGATTTTAAAAAATCCACATACAATCCATGTATAACCACGTCATTTTTATGTTTATTATTATTTCGTTTGTTATGAAGCTTACGATTGATTGTTTCCTAGGTACCGAGTATTTATTAACCTATTTTTTAATTCCCCAGAGAAAAAATTGCAACACACGCATAGCTGAGATTGTATGAGTATTGCACACATTGATAACATGGACAAGTATAAATATACATATCTAATAGTCGATTATTCTTATAAGAGCTAATTTTCTAGATAAAATATCCAAGCGATAAAATAATTTATAAGTTGAATCAATTTTCCCATTAATTTCTTCAATTCAACTCAGCGATATTATTGTTTATATTGCACAACTAATTATAGCGCACAACTAATTGTACTGGTCTACATCAATAGCAGATAACCACGTCAGTTTGAAGTCAAGAGTAGGATTATTTGTTATGATATTAGAAGCATTGATTCGTATCCTGGATACTTTCAATATCCTTCACAACTTTTTCTAGTTTTCAACAAAGATTACCGCAAATGCTTGTACGGTATAACTTCTATGTGTGTAGACATCGAATTATACTAATCATATTGAGTAACTGGCCCAGGATAAAATTTGGTGAATTCTGTAAAAAATAGATTCGGAAAATCACATAAGCTTGTTAGCGTGCTGAGTCTTTTTATTATGGATTTTGGGTGTTTATTTAAATTTTTCTCCGGGAATATTTTTTGTGAGCATTTTTTCTACTGGATTTATTTATTCCGGGGTTATTTCTTTCGATAACCAAATTTGGTATTTCTGTGAAGATTATATACCAGTTTTTGTACAGTAAGAAAACGTATTTTTATTGTAAGAATATTCGTTCAATAATACTTCAAATACTGAAAGATAAAATAATTTTTTTTAGTGTTCAGAATTTTTTGAAAGTAATAACGTAAGCTTATACTTATCAGAATAATAAGCTTAACAATAACTGTGCTTTTGGTCGATCCAAATATGGTGTCTCTTATTACAGGATTGTATAGCCAGGAAAACAATGTGTTCGAAATTAGGCTCAAAAAATGGCGATCGAACAATATTGCAACTAAAAATTTTCAAAAAAGTATATTTTTAACAACCAGGAGATTTTTGAGCTTGAAGAGCTCAAAAGTCCAGAATAAATGATTTTTCGAGCTTTTTAACTCGCACATGTGTGCGCTATATAGCGGGAAGTTCCAGGGATGGCCTGCAGGGCCAACCGTTTTCCAGATTTTTTCAAATAATGTCCTTTGGGTTTCAAATAAATTCTTAAAACCAAAAGAGTGCACTCATGGAAATGGTTTTGTTAAAATTACAAAATACAGAATTGCAAGAAAAAATATGTTGTAGTTGCAAATTGTTTTACTTACAGTATAAATTGATTAGTTATTTTAACAAAGTGAGATAAGTTGTAGGAATAAATTAGTTTATAATACCGCTAAATCAATCTGTGGTCTTAACAACAATCATTTTATTATCACAATAATATCTGTTTGTTCTTACAATTATTTTGTGAATTGTAACATTATTTTGCTGATTTTGTTGTAATAACAGAATTTATTTGTTGCTTTAACAAAATCTATTTGTTGTTACAGTAAAATTTATTCATTGCCATAATTATTAGTTATTTGAACAAAATGACTTATCTACTTTAACAATAAAATTTGTTACACCCTCTAACAAGTTAATATTATTGCAATAAAATATTTTTGTTAAGCAAACAGGAATATTTGTTATCTCGACTCGACAATTCAGTTGCTTCAACAAGCCAATTTGTTGATTCAACTTAATTGTTTTTTTTTTTTTAATTAACTAAAATGTTCTGCTACAAAAACATAATTGTTTTATTGATGTAACATATGATTTATTATTCCTGTGCTATAATCATAATTTATTATCACAACTTGTCTTATGTTGTCCAAAAAAAATTTTTTTTAGTATACTAGGGCGTATAAAGTCAGATATGTTTTGATATGGCCAATTTTCATATCATGCCGTATATTTGTTAATACCAAAAGAGTGTATCGCTAATTATTTTTAAAAATCTATCGATCTTAGAGCAACCTCTGATGCTATATGCCTTATGAGCTGTCCAGTAAAGTTAGACTGAATACTCCAATGACACTTGAGCAGCGAAATCTAAACCTGGAGACGTGAAGTGAGTGAGTAAATAACTAAATAGGTAACTCTTATTCGGAGAAACGTGACTCCGCGACGTGACCATAAGCATTACAGATATCGAACAAGTTGAGCCAGCAGAAGTAAAAAATAAAAATAATAAGACCCGAGATGGGGATAAAGAATGAGAGTAAGTCAAAAGTAACGAGGGACCAAGTCAGGATAGGAATGAACGCCGAGAACAAGGAGGAAGAGGCATCACCATACACTACCAATCTTAGAATGTTCCAATGTATCAGTTAAGTGTAGAGCAATGTTAAGTATACAGAGCAAACGGTGCTACCAGATCTCGGATCCTCAATCGAGTTAGGCCAAGCCCAAGCCGAATCTCCGTGCAAATTTATCCTTGTCCTCTCTGCTCTCTGCAAGGACCAACCAGAGATATATCTGAGCGTTAAGCCAAGATGCCTTATGGGCACCTCAGGTCCGTTGTTTGGCGCCTCCGGGAGTGAAGATGTTCCAATAATTGGCTCCGCGAATTTAACTGCGTAGTGAGGTCATTTTTAACTGAACTTATGTTACAATATTTCACTTTACGCTTGCAGTTTCCATTATTTCCTAAGTTATTGAACATACCTACTCCTGGAAAAATTCTGTTATCACAACAATGACAGCTAAGTAATGGTAACGAGATAATTTAGTTGTAACTGATTTGTTTTTGGAACTTGGATGATGTTGGTAAAAAAACTACTAAATTTATCATTATAAATAAACTTATTTTTTACTACAATATACTGTTCTATAATCTCGTTTTTTTTTTTTTTATTTTAGCGAAATCATTTTTATAAGTGCATAACTTGATATGCCTATATCAGGTCACTTATAGACATGTATAATTTTTTGACCAAAAATGGTATTAAAAATCTTAAACAGAAGACGCATGATCGCTGAATTACCTCAATGCAAGAGAGTTAAGTCTGAGGTATTAACTTACAAAATAAAAATCATTTCATAACTCTCCTAAGGAGCTTATATGTCATTTATTTTCAGCTTAATCAACTATTAAACCAATTTTTATCAAATGAAACATGTTAATTCACGCACACATTTAAAAAAAATGATAATTATTTTTTTATTTTCATAGATAGGCTGATATATAATCAAATATGAACAGATCAGCCCGTACATGGAAATATACCATATTTGACTATATTAGAAAATTTGTTCACAGATATGTTGTATTGGAAGACTAAGATCTGAATTTAATTCATTTAACTTTACTTACACATATGTAGTACGTATATACCAGTAACTAAAAACATCATGCAGGAAAGGTATTATGTCGGAGATATGTAAGAGTACAATAAGAGTAGAAGTTTAACGAGGAAAGATAGAAAGACTACTTTGCACTGAACTGTTGCTATACCGGCATCAGTAGACTGTAAACGATGATACTTTTCAGAGTCTCACTTTATTCGGTTAATTGCTCTGGGTAATTA